TATCCTTCCGTTTATAAGCTAGATGGAAATCAAATACTTTATACTTATTCGTTAATCCATATGGTGATGTTTAATTTGTTTATATAATTTATTTAAAAAGAGTTTGAAATTTTCTTTTAGAGTTAATTCTTTTTTGAGAGTGATTTTAGTGGTTTAAAAACAGGGAATTGGGTATGGGGTATAACATGACGATGTCTTAGTTGGATTACTGGTGTTGGATTTTATACTTTATAGTGATTCGGCACTATGTGCGGTGGTGGATATGTTTTCCATTAGTGGAAGTAACGAAATCAAATCATGGGCCATATTGATTAACCATTTTCTACTAACCCAAATTGAACACACACAAAAATACAGGACCATTTTTCAAAAAAAAAAAAAAAAATTTAAGGCACGAAAGCATCATTTTTTGCCTGAATTTTTAAAGTAATTATTATTAACGAGAACCCTATATCAACTTGGAAGTAGAGAGCAATATATTTTAACTCCTAACTCAAAAAGGAATTGGAATCTCAAAGAAATTAATGTTCACCCATGACATGGGTTTATTTTTGTCTTGGAGAGAGGGTAGAATTGGTAGCGAACAAAACAATAAACAAAGTTAAGAAATGTGCCAAATTGACAAGAAGAAGACAATATAATAAGAATAAAAAAAAGCCGACTCGGACCATAGGTGTTGGGTATATGGGGAAATTAAAATAAGGGAATGGTCCACGTGAAAATGACAAGTGTTCTAGGTACGTGCCCAGGTTCATGCATGGTTTCAAGTTCAACAATAACTGGCCCATGCCTCGAATGAAGTATATAATTTTCTGAAAGACAAAACCGATTATGGTTTCTGAACCCAACAAAATTTTTCCCTCTTTGTAAAATGTACCTGCACCAATATTGCAACTTCAATACTCTTGCGTTTCTTTCCTTTCCTTTTTGCCCCCACAGTTTTCAGCTGATTGATTTCGATAATCTTTTAAGTCCATTAGTCGCTTAAGGTTCTCTCAGTGCGTGCCAAATGTTGATAGGACTATCGTAGATATTAATATCATTATACTTTTTTTTTATACAATAATAAAAATTAAACACATAACCTAATACAAACTACTCAAGTTCCTCCCCACTATACCAATCCGAGTGGCTTATTATTATACTTAAATGATCCTACTGACATATTTATTATTCACTGTCATTCAATATAATACATATCATCTTTGAGAACATCTGTTTTAAATAAGTTTATTTTAGCAAACAATAGTCATTCTCAAAGCATATATAAGTAACATTAACATAGTAAGAAATAATTTACCGAGAAAAAAAAACATAGTAAGAAATATGTTTTATTACGAAAGCACGTGATATTCGATATAGGTATATCTAGGTATGCAGTGAATATTTTCAAAATACTTACAGAAATTTAATGTGTATACCATAATGTCTCGTTTGTAAACAGATAAACTAAAATACAAGTATACAACACAAAAACCGAAAGTTTATGCAGTATGTAGCTTTGTTAAATTTTCATCATTGATGTAACGCGAGACTATTTGTTTCATTCAAAAATAAAAATCCCAGAATGAGAAAAATGGTAAATAGCAGGTATATATTCGCAAACATATGGACAAATTATCGAACTAGGAAATGAACTATATTCTCTATTTTTAGACGGTTACTTTTTTCATTGGTCTGAATTCTGATTATATAGATGTGCCCGAAAATCTGAAAACGTATGTAATGGATTTGAAACTACATACATACATGACAATAACAATACCAACACATTGAAAGAAAGGAACTGATCTGTATACCTTTTTTTTTTCTTTTTCTTATGAAAGTAGTGTGTATAACATACATCTCTAAGTTGAAATATTGCTAGCAAGTGGAAGCCAAAGAGTGGTGTGTTCTAAGACTACCAAGAATGTGACTTAAAATAACTTAATTACTTGATGCTGAAGTGTTTTTAACTTGCACCCTCCACTCCTCACAGGACATTATTTCCCTGCACCAGGATTCTTCTGAGTTCACTAGCAATTCCTTGCAACAAAACTGGTTTTCGGATAACACCATTAATACCAATTTGCATGCATCTTTCCCACAAATCTTCTTCTGCTCTTGCGGTCAAGGCAACAATCATAGGCCAACTTCCACTTCTAAACTTTCGAATCCTCGTGGCAACTTCAAAGGCATCTAAATCAGGCATGTGAAGATCCAAAAGAATGACTTGAATAGAAGATCCACCAGATCCAACGACAGTAAGGCATTCAAATCCAGATGAAACAGAAGTTACTACACAACCTAGTTTCTGAAGCAGTTTTTGGGTCACTGCTCTATTTACATCATCATTGTCAACTAACAGAACTTGCAGACCTCTCAACATTGAATTGGAATCTGTACGCTCCGAAGATTCTCCAGGTTCAGAGATGGCTATGGCAATGGACGGTCGTAATTGAAACCTGAGAAGAAGTGTCATGCTTTGAGGAAAACCATGAGTATATGGTACTAACCATATGTTCCCTTGCATCAACTGCAAATAACACAATAGACAGAAATTTAAGTACCAAACCAAGGCAAGAAAAAATAACTTAACAGAATACAGTCAAGGCTAAATTAAACAACAATATAATTCAAAACTCAGGTCTTAAACAAAGTGGAAAACCACACCCTAATTCATATAATTAATTGAAATAATCTAGGACATAAACATGAAAACTACAGTCAAACTATTGAATACACTATCTAATATACTTAACACTGCATGCATTACCTCCAATCTCCCAGAGCTATACACTTAAAACATTTTAATTCTATGAGAGCAGACTTGGATCTTTGTGTATGGGGGTGGAAATTGGGATTCTAAATCATATCACAGTTCAGTAAAGCGCATCTCTTCAATTAATACAGATCTTGCAATGTATTCCACATTATTCAAGGAAGAGAGAAAAGAGAATCGATGGAAATTCAAAACATAAGAACCTAATTCAGTAATTTTTCACACAAGCTATGAAAAACAAGAGCAAACATCCATCCTGGTGAAACATCTAGAGGCTGGCAAAAGGAAATTTTAGTGTTTTGAGTACTTTATTTAGTACTGAAGGAATGCAGAAAATAGCCTTCAACTAAAGTTTGCAAGATACTACTTATATAGCACATGAATCAAGATGCAAATCAGTGCCTTAATGCACTTGTTATCCATACATACACATTAACAGACTTTATGAAACTCACCTGGACTATCCTCTTGCAAATGCTGAAGCTCAATCTGCCCTCAACCCTATCACTGGTATATTTCCTACCCCCAAGTCCTGAAGAAACTGAGCTCCCAATTTCAGAATCACTATTGTTGATCCCTATCTCAAATCTAATATTTACATCACCACTAGATGAGCTTGGTCTCCAGGTTGACCACCCCTTGTCATTCCTTCCCTGACTTCCAGTTTCTGCAAAAACCCGGAATATCATAATCCCTTCCCCATGGTTGCGATCCAATAGGTTCCCAACCATATGCAAAATCACCTGAAAGACCCTCCTCTCATCACCCATAACATTATCAGGCAAAGACTTCTCGACCTCAACCATAAAACCGAAGCCCCTATAAACACACATGCACTTGGCAAGGCAAGCTGCTTCTTTTATCATGGAATGTAACCCAAAAGACCTTATCTCCAAAGGAAATCTTCCATCATCCTTTGTGGAGTTGTCCATGGCATCATTTATCAAGTTTGATAGGACATTACTGGTCCTTAGCATTGCATCCACAATAAGCTTCTGTTCATTCTTTAAATTATCATCTTGTATCATTGAAAGCAATCCCAAAATTGAGTGCATTGGCCTCCTCATTCCATCACTCATGACTTTCTGAAATGAGTTTCTTGCCTGGCTGGCCATCATAGCATTCCTTTTTGCCTGTTGCAAAGCTCGATTTTGCTCCTCCAATTTCTCTCTCATAAGTTGGGACTCTTCAAGAATTGCAGCATGAGATAGAGCCACCGCGACCTGATCAGCAACCACCTTAATTATCTCTAGCTCCTGATTGCTCCAAGATCTAGGCTCTCCAATAGGAAGAACCAAGACCAATATTGCATAACATGCCTGCGTCAGCTCAGGTGTTCCTCTATTGAAATTAGAAACCCGTAGCATTGGCATTCGGATTGCAGCAACTGGTCCTGCCTCAGCAGAAACTCCACTACTCGCAACAGCAAGTGCTGAGTCAGAGCTTAGTATATTCACTCCATCGCTTCTCTTAATTATTACAACATCTGGATCAGTAATGGGTATAGAAAAATTAATATTTCTCCCGTTCAATTCATGAGTGAGGTTCAACTCTGTCTTCTCAACATTAGGCATCCACACAGCACAATTTTGCAAGCCCAGTGTTTTAGACAGCTCCACCAAAGTGGTGTACAGAATCGTATGTCTATCAAGTGACTTGCGAATCTCTTGAGTAAGCATTCTTACATGCATTGCAGCCTCCTTTTGTCTCATAATAATACCAACCTCCCGTCCAAGATCCCAGGTCTTTTTCTTCAGCATGAATTCTCTGACCTTCACTTTGAGAAGCAAAGGAATTAAAGTAATGAGGGTTATAGCAGTGGCACATGATACCAAGGCAGTGAGAATTTTGAAGACAGTGAGTGCCACCATGAGTTGAAAAGTGTGAGGGCCATAAGTCCACCCATTCAGTAAATGGGTCAATCCACATAGTACAATGAAGGCAATGAACTGAATAAGGACCCATTTGAATGGGACATTTGAGCAACTGATAAAATAAAGCAGCTCAATAGGGATGGAGAAGTAGGCCACAGCAATCAAGAAATCTCCAACTCTCTGGCACTCCAAAATGCTGTCAATAGTCCACAAGCTTGCCTCATCATCACAGTTACATCTAGGATATCCATTTTCTGTTGCAGATACACATATGAGGATAGAGGTAATCAACAGCCCAGATGCCACTGCTTTTAACATTGATCCAATATCTTGCTCCTGCTTCAATCCATCTGGTATAAATTTATGGGCCAAGCCGTACCCCCAATGAATAGCTAGCTAAGCTAGAAAACAAGAAAATTCTTCAGCAATCTCCTCCCTTTCAATTGTCTTGCCCTGTCAACAGTTTCACAAAAAATTGAAAACTCAGAAAGATCCAAAACAAAGAAAAAGAACAATATGAGATCCTAAAGAAGAGGGATTAAAGCCAAAAAAAAAAAAAAAATCTATAATTCTTTGCCCAAATTAAATGATCGAAAACTATTCCCCTCTTGTAATTTCAATTTTTACCTTCTTTACTACCCCTATGGATGGAGTAGTATGAATCAGTGAATAATACAGTGCCAAGCTTTGAAGAGGACATTCCCATCAACCAAATTGGAAAAACACACAAATATAAAAGGAGAAAAAAAAATAAAAAGGATCAAGAAAACCCAAGCTATGCTAAACCCAGGGGAAGACAAAGCCAAAAAAGAAATTATTAAAAACCCAAAGTCCAACAAGGATAAATAAACCCCTCCCAAAATAAAATAAAATAAAACAATACCAAGAACACAGTAATGCAGACCAAAATAGAAAAGAGTACCTGAAGAAATAAAGCTCGTTAATGCAATCAGATATTCCACCTTCATCAGATCTTAACCTTACCCTGGAAAGACCAAAACCTTGTTAAAGATACATTACGGACAACACATTAACCAAACCTCCTCAACTTTCTTCAGCAACAAATCGAAACACCCCACCACCAAAGTCCATTACTTTATATATGTCTAATAAACAACAAGAACAAGTGCACCCACCTCCACCATTGGGAAGAACAAAGAAAGGAACCCACTTGAGGATGCACCAAATCCCAACATATCAATTAAAAAAAAAAACCAATCTTTACTGTGCAACAATAAGCTGTAGCACGAAACCGGGTGCGACCCTTTAGTGGGAAAGTCTCCCTGAGCCTAGTGTTCATAGCCAATCAAAACAGTGTCCCTACGGCACAGCCAGATGAAGGGGGGAAAAATGGAGCCTTGTGCAGGGAATCTTAACCTTTTGTGCAATACCCTTTCTCTATTTTCCAATGCCAAACCACAAACCATGTAAGGAAAGAGGAGAGAGAGAGAGAGAGAGAGAAAGCGCCGTTGTTTCGTGGGAGAAGAGAACGAGTGGGTTTGGATTTAGAAGAGGAAGGAGGAGAGAGAAACAGCGAGGAAAGAGAAAGAGAGGGGGGGTCCCACATTCTTACATGAAGAGAACTTGGACGCTCTTAGGAACCAAAACGTCCTGGTCACACCAAAAAAGATTTGTTTTATTTTTCACACTCTTTCCTTTTCAGCTTCTCTCTCTTGCATATGTGTGCGGTTTTTTTTTAAAATAAAAATTCCTTTGAATTCCTCATTCAATGTTCGATCTTCTTGTGTCAGAAGCACGACCTGTTTCCTTTCCCATTTCTCTCTCTCTCTAGGATTATAATGGTGTTTGGAATTTGGCGCCACGTGCCTCTACCAAAGTGCAAACTTGGTTTTCCTTGTTAATTCAGAAGCACACGCAGAATTATCCGTATGCTAGTATATATAATAAGACCAAGTTATCAAAATAATAATAAAATATTACTAAGACACGTATCAAAAAAATATACATATGACTAAGACATGCCACTAATGATAGATTAAAGTTGTGATTTTTATTTGTATTGCAAAGTTGTTACGCGGACGGAGCAATCACCAGGACCAAAAAAATTGGTATGTGCAATGAACAAGTAAATGTTGCGGTGAGTGTGCACATTATTATATCATTAATAGCGTGGAAAGGTTGTTGATTTGGAATTTTCCAAACACTCCTTTACATTGAACAAATGATAGGTTAACAGTGAAACTTGTATACATACTGGGAGAGACAACATATGAAACGTATTAAACTTAACTTTTTTAATTTTATATGCATAATCAGATTAGTTTGTGAGCAAGATAATAAAATTAATTTTTTGAATAATGTTAAACTAAGAAATAAATAAGTTATTATCGTTAGATCTACTAAAATAAACGGTTAAGAATTGTATAAGATTATATATATATATATATATATATATATATATATATATATAGAATTCGCTTTTTCTGTAGTTACTGCAGATAAGTTATCTGCAGTAAGTCTAATACGACGTCGTTTTGGGACAGAAATCATTGTGTTTTTGTAATTTTAATTTATTTCAGAGTTATAATAGTCTTTATATTTAAATTTTTTAAGATTTTAATACCAAAACGACGTCGTTTTGAGAATACTGCAGAAACATTTTTTCCTTATATATATATATATATGTGTGTGTGTGTGTGTGGATTCATTTTTTTCTGCAGTTACTGCAGATAACTTATCTGCAGTAAGTCCAATACGACGTCATTTTAGGCGAAAATTACGGTATTTTTGTAATTTTAATTTATTTCAGGATTATAATAGTATTTATATTTATAATTTTTTAATATTTCAATACCAAAACGACGTCGTTTTGAGAATAAATGCAGATAACTTATCTACAGTAACTGCAGAAATATTTTTCCACATATATATATAATTTTTATTTTATTAATTTAATAAATAAAAGATACATCATTAATTTAAATATATAATAGTTATCTTGCACCAAAATTTATGTAATATTTAAAATAGCGATAAGTTATATTTATAAATTTTTTATTTATAAACTATATTATATATTTGAGCATATATTACCGATAATATATAGTATAATTTGTATGAATTTATAAATAAAATATTTATAAATATAATCCAACTCTTTCAAATGATATTGCATTTGCACTTTATTAGCTTAATTCACATAACTTGTGTAAACTGTTATGTAAACGACCAAAATCAACGATCAGTGTCTGGTATGCAAAGTTTTAATTTAAAAGGAAAAGACCCTTCCCTTATTTGGTATTTTGGAAAGTATAGATTGCATTGATGCATTTTCGATGGACCCACATATATCCTTTCTATATGGGACGGAAGGGGGGAAGAAGATGGAAAGAAAGTTTTTGGTAGCTCCCACCAAATATTTGCATATATTTTTATTTATTTACATACATTTCAATTATTTTCCTCGATGAAATCAAACAAATAAAGGGAAGTATTTTTACTTTTTATTTGGATCAATATCAAATAAAAGAAGTAATAATTGTTCCACTCTTCTTTCTTTTATGTTATATCTTTCTATCTTTTTTTCAACCGTGATACAGAATAAAGTCTAAAAATTCGGTTTTTTGACCCTTTTGTCCCTCATTAAATAATTAATAACCAATTTGTCCTTCCCCCAGAACTATCCACCATCCTGTCCCCATTTAGTCGATTAAGTTGCACTTTTAATCGACTAAATGGGCAAAACTCAGAAATCATGAAACGCGAATTTTAGTCGACTAAATACTCACCTTAATCGACTACATTCGTTGCACTTTTAGTCGACTAAGTCCATTATTTAGTCGACTAAATGTCGCAGAAAATCCTATATCCAGACCTCTCTCGGTCTCATTTTCATTATATTCGAAATCAAAACTCCTCTTTCTCTTGTTTGTCAGTTGTGATCCTTCCAAACACCCTTCCATTTCATCCCACCACCTCTAAGGCATAGTAATTGTGAAATCATTGTCATTTCCCTTTATTTCTCAATTGTTTCCCCCAAATCCGAACCCAAAACCCTAAAATCCGATTCCTACCCCCAAAATTCGTGTGAAAGATGAGCTCAAGTCCAAACATGTATGTTACCATGATTTACTATGATGGAAAGCATTATGAAGGCCCCAACGGTGTTCAATTTGAAGGAAAAACGAAAATGTTGAAAATCAAACGGGGCACTACGTACAATGAGCTGAAGGGGAGGATTCACCAAAAATTGGAGCTACACGGCAGCCATGGCGTTCAACGGATGATCGTCAGGGTAGAGTCTACAGTTGGTAAGGATGCTATATTCTACATTGGTAATGATATATGTGACGATGAAGATGTGGACTGTGTCATAGATGCATTTGTGGATCGAAAATTTCAAAACTTTATTGAGATATATGTTGAAATAGACTGTGGTCAATCTTCATCTGCACCTGCGTATGGAAGAAGTCAAAGTCAAGAAGACAGAGTGGTCGGTTTATCTGCACCTGCACCTGTCTTAAGTCAGATAACACTGAGGGAAATAGACGAGGATGAGGATGAGCATGACGAGGATATGGACAGTGAAGACGATGGTGAACCCGAGAGTGTTATTCCGCTGGGTGACACCTCAGATACGGACGTAGAGGCGAATTTTGACGCTGATACTAGTTCAGGAAACTTGAGTTCCCAGGTTATGCCACCACTCCGTGTTGACCCTGTTAGCAGTGGTAAGATTGTAAATTAAAGTTTTAATTTTGCATATATATATATTTGTGTTTTTTTTCGTACTGACGGATAAGTTTAAATTTGGACGTAGGTTCTAAGATTGAGCCATTTTGGAACGACAGCCCACACTATTCCTTCATTAATTGGGCTCACCCTAATGATGAGACAGAGATATTGTATGGCAACGATGACATCCACGGTGGCTGGCATTTAGGGGATCCATTATATTTGTACCAGGAGTTTCGAATTAAATCTGAAATGCAACATGCAGTCAAATTATATTGTATGAAGTCTCATCGTACTGCTGTGGTGGCAAAAAGTGATGACCATAGATTTGTGATGAAGTGTCGACATCATAGTGATGGTTGTCCCTGGTACGTGCGGGCTATGTTGCCCAAGAATGAAAATAGTTGGGTTGTTAGTAAGTGGGTAAAAAACACATCTGCCTAAACCAAGGCCTCACTCAGGACCATAGACAACTAGAGTCTGATGTAATCTGTGCAGCCATTATAAGTATGTATTACAGAATTTTTGTTTATGGTTTAATTTTTCGGTATATTAATTGATTGTGTTGACTTCGAATTTTGTATAGGTATGTTAAAAGAAGATCCATCCACGAAACCAGTTCTTATTCAGGAGAGGGTACAAAGTTTGTATGGATACAACATATCTTATAGGAAGGCTTGGAAGGCTAAAATGAAGGCCATTGTGAAGTTGTTTGGCGACTGGGAAAAACCATATGCCATCTTACATGGTTGGCTGACCTACATGACACAGATTAATCCTGGTTCTGTGTTCAAGATTGATACGGACCAGTGTTGTGACGAACGACGTGTCTACACCGATAAGGCTGTCTTTCGCAGGGTATTTTGGACTTTTCACCAGTGCATTGAGGCTTTCAAATAATGTAAACCCATAATCCAAATTGATGGCACACACCTGTACGGGAAATACAAAGGTACCCTCTTGATTGCTACGTCACGGGATGGTGATGAATTCATTCTGCCTATTGCGTTTGCCATTGTTCCACCAGGTGAGAGATTGGATGATTGGTTGTGGTTTCTTAGCCAGATGTGTTTCCATGTCACACGTAGGCATGGTATATGTCTAATATCCGATCGTCACCCCAGCATCATCAGGGTTGTGAAGGATCATGCCGGTTGGCAGCCTCCATTTGCGTATCACGTGTTTTGTCTTCGTCACATTGGAAGCAACTTTAACACTAAGTTTAGGGACGTGGAACTGAAGAAAACGCTGATGAAACTAGGTAAGCTATTTTCATGAATGTGTACATGTTGTATGTAATGCTGTTTATGTATAACTCATTCAATTTGGGTTCATTTTTTGCAGGTTACATGTGTTCGAAGATTCACTTTGATTTAAGATTTCAAGAATTTGTCGACAGTAACCCACAAGTAGCCTCATGGATAGATCAGATTCCCAAAGAGAAATGGTGCAGGTCTTATGATGAGGAGGGCCGAAGGTTTGGTCATATGACGACTAACCTATCTCAGTGTATCAATAAGGTCCTACGGGGTGCACGTAATTTGCCAGTAACTGCATTGGTCAAGATGACGCAAAGTAGACTTGTAGAGTATTTTGTGAAGAGGCGTGAAAAGATCAAAAAAGCAAAGGACAAAGGCTGGAGAATTGCAAAAAAGGTTGAGGCCTTCTTACAAAAGAATGATCAGTTAACTGTCAGTCTCTGTGTTCGTGTTTTTGATAGAGACTT